ACATGGTAATTAAGAAACTATAATATGCTCATAGCCAATTTGTTGTATGATATATTTATAAAAGATTAATTTGACAAAAGTCTACACAAATAAAAAAAAACTATTTAAAAAATCATTGTAGGTTCTTAACAAAAGATTCTAATTACAATAATGTAGAATTCTTTTATATTAAATTTTTATTTAAAAAATTTAAATAAACCAAAATCTTAAAAATAAAAAATGAAAAAATGAAATTCATGACATCTATTAAATTTTGATGCAAAACCTATCAAAAAAAGATATGAGACTCCTATATGTTAAAGATTTCTACAACTAGAATATAGTAATTTTCGGTACATACACTAGTTAATCTTGTGATAACTCTAAATTAATTAAAATCAATCAGAATCAACAAGCATAGAAAAATTAAATGCTTAAAGTTGCACAGGTTCTTAGAGAATAAATGTTTGTCTTGGTGGAGACTTAAATAAGCCTCTGGTCAATGCAACATAAATTAATACTTTTTTCAAGGGTATTTGTGATATCCCATTTAGTTGAGAACATGCCAAGAGGGTGGAATAGAAAAACAAAAAGAAAGAAATGAAGGAAAAGATTGTATAAAAATTCCACTAAGATTTGATTAATTTTGTACACCATAATTTTGTTTTGATTCTAATTGTATTTAATGATATAAAACCAAAAGATGTAAGTGTTTCTTTTTTTACTTTCTGTTAATTTTTGTGATTTTAAATTTATCTAATTTTATACCTTTGATCAGTTATAAAATTCATAGAAAGTTTTTAGATATATTGAAAAAAAAAAAAAAAAAAAAAAAAAAAAAAAAATTGATAAATGGGAGCAAAATATCACATTAGAAACTATCTAGTATAGTTTATATAATTATATATATAATTATATATTATAATTTTAATGTATTTAAAAGCTCATTCAATATATTTTTGAATATCAAAGTATACACACAAGCAATTTTTATTTTGCATGTCTTTCTTGAAGCCTAATATAAATATTAATAATTAAAATATAATCAACTAACTATACACAACTTTTCCTTTTGATTGGTTTTCCTTCAATTGATTCATAATTCCTTAGATATAAAGTGGTTTCAATTTTATTTTTCTTTGCTAATTCCCTCCATCTTTATAATATGCAACATAAGTATAAGATTTAAATGTTTCAAAAAATCTTATTAAATGTAAAAAAAATATTAAGTCTATAATTGATTATAAAAATACTACAATACTACTGAGATATAATAGAGTAACTATTGTCAATTTCTATCCAAATCACATCTTTACCTTGTAGGATAAAAATGATTTGTGCATATGAATTTATAAAATATAATATTATTAAAAATAGAAACCAAATAAAAAATGTGATATTTATTATTACATTAATTTATAAGATATTTTATTATTTTAATTTACGTATTACTTATTAATTTAATTAATTCAAATTTAAAGCATATCCATTTATTTTTATTGATTTTATAGTCAGTTTTTTTTTTTTTTTTTTTTTTTTTTATCTCTTGTATTTTCTACTATTGCAACCAATAGAAATAATTTACAAAAAATTATAAAAATTTTCTTACAACTATAATTTCCATGAAAAATTCAATTTTGTATGCAATCTTCTTCTTCTTTTTTTTTTGTTTTTTGGTTTTTTTTTTTTTTTTTTCCCAAAACGGGGCTTTTTTTCCAAAAAAAAAAAAAAAAAAAAAAAAAAGGGGGGAAATTTTGAAAAAAATTTTTCAATTAAGGCCTTAAAAACCCCCTTGGGATTTTTTGTTTCAAAACGGTAAAACCTCCTTCTATTTTTGCCGGCCCAAGGGAGGGGGTATATCAACCCCCCCCCGAGCCCCCCAAAAATCGACCCAAAAAAAAAACTTCGCCACCAAACCCAACCATTTCCCTCCCCTATCGACCCCCTTGAAAGAAGACCAACCCCCGTTTGGGGGACCCCAAAAACCAAAAATTCGGCACCCCGGAACAAGGCCCCCAAAACCCGGTGGAAAAAAAGCGGCCCCAATTACGGTATTCATGGAACTGTCTTCGTCGTCTTCTGTCTAAAGCTTACAGCTTTGCCTGGAAACCATCAAGTTCGAATGCAGTGAAGGTGAATGAAGCAGATTCTTTTTATCTTTTTCCTCTGTGGACGATATCAGTGGACGTTGGTGCCGATTGATAGAGAGAGAATCATTGGGTTGGACCATGTCAGCGCCTGATAAGCATCTCATCTCCCTTGTGGAAATCAGATGTGAGAATTCGAGAAGAATCTCTCCGGTTTTTTTTTCTTATTACTGAGGTTTACGATTGTGGGTGCTTTTTTCCGGCTCCGTCAGCGAGTGATTGTGTGGCGAAAGAGTAGCAGCCGGAACGCCGAGGATTGCTAATCTTTTTTCTTTTGTTTTTTTTTTCCATGTATTCCAGGGCTTCTGCAAGTTGGTCCTGATGAGGTGGGTCGGCTTTGCTCCCAATTGAGGAAGCCATCATCGTGTTGTCCGTGTCCTTTCTTTTGCTGTTGCTTATTCTCCAGGATTTTCATAAAAGTTTGTTTTATTCTTACTTTTGTTTGCTCTGAAAACCCACATTGACTTACGGTCAGAAACCTCAGTCTCCTTCATGTGTTGTGTCGCTTTGCATGCTTGTTTGTGTTTGTGGTAGTCAAACAAGGAAGACTTGATCCAGGAAAATGTTTTTACGAAACTAACTTGGGTTAATGAGAGAATAGTGATGGAATTAGTATTTGATGTCTTTTGTGGAAATCAATTAACTTTCACACAAGAGTTCATTCTATTAGTTGATAATTTTGAAGTAAGGACATGATCCGAGGTAACTTTGTACTATTTTGTGTACTCTCTAATCAAAATTCTCTGCGAATTGTGTTTTGTCTTCTTCCTTCCTCCATCTTAAATAAGTCATATCCTTGGATGAATCCCATGCTGCCACTATGTCATTGGTCTTGTATTTTTCTAAGAATTTTCCTCTTACCAATAAATTTTGTTTGATGCTTTTTTTTGTAATAAAATAAAATTATTTAGGGTCACAATGTGGTTAAGGATATGGGTTTACATTTTCACTTACATTGCCTAAATTTTTATATACATATAAATGGTTGTACTGAGATACAAGATGACTTGCATTTTACAAAGATAACAAAACCAAAAAGAATGATACGTGAGGCTAGAATTGATCTTGTTGTTTTTACTATTTTTATTATTATTTCAATGTAGAAGGTTGATTTTTCTATTTAAGATTATGTTCAAATTATACCAAAACTTTTGGAAGAAACTTCCATATATATATATATATATATATATATACATATATAATGTTTAAATCCATAATAAAAAATTTATTTTTAATTTTATTTTTGAATAATATAAAAAATTAAAATGTTCAATAAAATTATTTCAAAAAATAATATTATTTTTGATAAAAGATACAAAACCAAAATTACTAATATGAAAATATTTTTTATAACATTTTATAAAAAAATCCTCTATTTATTAAATTTCTTCTATTTGCTTATTATTAGTATTTTATTTTTAATATTTAATAAATAATAGATACAAAAAATACACACATGTGTTAAACTAAATACCTTTGTAAATAATTATAGGTATTATGTATGAATATCATTAAAATATAATAATATATCTTTTTTTATTTATTTTCTTGATTGAGATTATTATTGATTTTATAAAAGCTTTGCAAAGTAATCGTTATTTTAGGTGACATGGGATTTTGTGAAATAAAAAAGGGTTTATATTTTGGAGGAATTTGTGACCATTGGAGCAAATCAACAAGATTAAAATTATATAGTTGTGAATCTACTTTTTTTAAATATGTTTTTTGATTTTTAAATTAATCAAATAATTAAATTAAAGGTTATTAAAATTCAATTGAATTAGAATCTTGGAAATTAAAGTTTAAAATCAAAAATAGAATCATGAGATTGCATGAGGGCCGCGATGATGAGAAGCATAAGAGAAAATCTGAAACACACGACCACAACGACAAGGAAAGGAGCAAAACCACAGGATCCACATAGGCCTCAACCACGAGGACTAAGAACTGATAGCCACTGTGTGTGCCGTGGCGACAATGACGAAGAGGAGCTCGAGAGAAGAGGAAAAAGTGCACGCGTGGAGGTTCTGGATGGAGCTGAAGAGCTTTGTCTCACAAGGTGCTGCTGCCCACCCCCGAAGTCGTCGGTGCCTCCGCTCAAGGCAGCATGTGTTTTTCGGTAGTGGGGCACCTACAGGGAGTGGAGCCGTTGCACCAACAAGCTGGGAGCCAGGCTAGGGCACTGACTAGCAAACTTTTGAGGTCGAAAGGGGAGAGGATTGAAGTGGATTGTCTGTCTTAGATCCTGTGCGTATTTCCCGATCCCAGCTCACCAGGTGTCAACGCAAACCGCCAATGGATTAATCGGGAAGTATTATTGATGGTGACAATGTCAACCAGGCTGCCGATTTGACGTCTGCGGGGTAATTATAGTCGAGCAATGATAAAGCTTCCAGGACAATGTGACGGACGTGTCCGTTGGACCCACCTGCTGGCAATTGCATTGCCAGTCCCCGAATAAGCGTTCTCACCCTGGCGTATATACCGACAATGCGACGAGCAACTTGGCAATGCTGGATCAACATCGCCTGAATCCCCACCTGTGATCGTCACCTGGCCTTATATTTTCAACGCCGGAATCTGAACTGATCCGCTTATTTTTTTCCAATAAAAGACATTGCTTCTGGGATGTTTAATGAAAGCACAGAAATCGACACTCAGCTTGAACATTCAGTTGACTTTTGGGTAGCTCTCTCACCGTTGGCCACTCACGCAGAACGTGGTTTTTTTACAACCATTGAGGACTAATTCGTAAGTTTTTTATATTATATTGGGGAGGTGTTACGATATCCGCAATAGCATCGAATCTTCGTGCTCAACTTGTAGCCAAGAAAGTAGCGCACGAGAGGTGACAGGTCTCTGCGCAGGTGGGAGCAAAGGTGGAGCGCAATCTGACATGCGACCGGGGCATTTTTGGATGGGGGGCAGCTGAGCTGTGCAGGGATGCAACTTGAGCTTCTATCGGAACTGACGGTGCCGGTTCCGCTCTGCAGTAATCGGTTGTGATGAGAGCAGAGGCGCTCTGATCAAAGGGTCGGTCAGATGAGCGGTATAGTTGTTGCATCTTCTTCTGTCTCAGAGCAGTAATAAGCAGGACCAAACTGAGGTCAAAGTAAGCACAACATGGTGTGCTCAAGCGTGCACGACAAAGAGATGGGAGGACCTTTTGCACATGTTTAGGGATGTTGTAGAAACTGATATTAGGGCCTGGACTGCTTTGAATCTAACGAACACCAGCTAGCAGCTGCTGAGAACTTCGTGTTCTGATCATTTCTCCGCTCTGGAAGGGAGAGTTCGAGTGTGTGCATGAGTGTCCCAAGAGGCGTTGGACGCCCTGTGAAGGAGAAATCAGGTTAGAATGAAGTTTCCACTGCTTTATGCTAACCCGTCTGAATAAACGCCGAGCACAATGCTCTTGACGTTTTGTCTGTGGTTCATTTGTTCATTTTATGACCGGAATGCCTCTACTTCGCTTTAACATGGAAGCTTTTAGCTACTTCATCTTCACCTTCGCCTGAAGAAAACAGGTTCCTGCTTGTTCGATGTTTGCTGCACCGGCCTGAGTTGCGTTGTATGATAGATAGTCGTTGCTTTCATTAGCGAGTTTAAGTTAAGAGCCGCGGAAGTTTATCTGAAGTTTGGATGGGGATCAACAGGTCAAATGAAGATTACTCGCCTCCTACTCGCCATTTTGTTGGTGAATCTGTGTGTGGTAGGCAATGTCATCGGAGCTACTCCAGCTGACGAAGGTACGTCATCTTCTGAACTCAACCTTGCATTCGAAGCTACTGTTCTAGAAAATCTAAGATAAACATTCCAAGCCTTCGTAACAAGCCAACTGTTTCCCAACTCTTCGAACAATGGGGGTCACAATGACAGTGAGGAATTTTATTGACTGATTCATGTGCTCTGAACTGAGTGGAACAGCCCAAGCTCTGGAGACTGTTCTGAAAACTCTACAATACACATTTTACAGTGCAGCGACGCCACCTTGTACATTTTTCAAGCCCGAGGTGGTGACGTGTGATCCAGCCAGTGGTTTGATTACTAAATTGTGAGTTTTTTCTCATTTACGAGATCTCATTCTCTCAATCCCTCAATCAGAATGACCTGTTAATGATACCTTTGAATCAAACTTTTGTCATTTTGTGTAGAAATTCTGAGGCACTTCCTTGTTGTCCGACAGAAACCTGAGCAGTATGGGTCTACGAGGGAAACTCCCTCCTCAGATTGGAACGTTCAAGTCCTTGGAGTTGCTGGATCTTACTACATACAACTCGTCTTTGGGTTTCCCAAATCAAATCGTCGGGCCATTACCCGATGAACTGGGGAACCTAGCTCAGCTCAAGTATTTGTAAGTCTCATGTGAGGAAGTGATAAGAGAGTGGGTGCACAAATGTGTACGCTTCAACCATCTTAATTTTGAAACCCTTTCAGCGGAATCATCATTTTCCCGACGCCTCATGTGGCATATCCTGGTTGGAAATTGCAGCAACTTCAGCTTCAACAATATCAACTCAGACTTCCCTCCCTGTGTGCTGAGGCTCACGAACCTAATTGATCTGTGAGTTGATCTATTTAAATAACTCCGGCTTACAATAGTCTTTGCTAAAAGAGACCCCAGTGGTCTTTGTTGCCTAAGTAACGTAGCTTATTTGGCACCCCCGCCTGTATGCATGCAGGAGGATTGACAACTGCAATATGACTGGTCAACTACCGAAGGAAATCAATCGACTGAAGAAACTCGAGCACTTGTAAGTCTCACTTCGGCTATGTTAGGGGCAAAGTTATTTGCCTGCTAAATGACTGACGGGTTGAGGAAGTTTTCGAAGCATATTTTGTTGAGGTTTTTCTCATTTTCCATTGTTCTTTGAAGCCTCACGTTTCAACATTCTGTTCTTATGTGATTTTGCCGATTAGGCAACTCTTTCACAACATATTAACCCACCATTCTCATAACTTACGGCTGATCAATTATAGGTTCCTAGGAAATAACAAAATGACTGGGAAGTTCCCAGAAACGTTGGGGGATTTGACTAGTCTTAAAGAATTGTAAGCCATTCTTTTCTCTTTGAAACCTGGGTAAATTTCTGGTTACATCCTCTGTATTCATCTATTTTTCGAGGAGAAATTCTGAGAATCGTCTTGCCAATATCAGTTGTTGTTTTTTTTTTTTTTTTTTTTTTTTTTTTTTTTTTTTTTTTTTTTTTAATGAGGTTCACAATTGTACATGTGCAGGACCGTGTGGCAGAACGAATTCAGGGACCAAATTCCAGAGTCGCTCGGCCAGCTTGAAAATCTGACCTACTTGTAAGCATCACGATTAAACCTGAGGATAGCTCAGTTTTGAGCTTACTTAACAAACCGTTTTGGCCCTATGTAGCGAGGAAAACATAGCTGATTAGCCTGGCAGTAGAAATACACCTTCAACGTATGGAAGAAACAAGACATAGGATAAACAATTTATCAAACAAAACTGATACTGCATTTCAATATATTCAAGATAATCGACGTCGAATGCTTCGTTCAATGTGAACCTTACATGTGCAGATTTTTTACACGCCCGAATTGCTAGCTTTATTTTTCACGTCCTGAGATGCTTGTAATAACATAGAAAGCTGTGTCTTAAGATTCCACTGCTTTTTGTCAACCAGGAATTTCCACACTTGTTCGATGTGGGGACCGCTTCCTGAATCTTTTGGGAAACTCAAGAAAATGCAGAAGTTGTAAGTTGATGTGCTTTAAACAATACCATTCTTTCAGTTATACTAGCAATGAAACACTTTTATTAAGAATAGTGATTATGGACATTGAGCGCACGTTGCAGCTTCCTCTTTCTACTTGTATGAGTATCCTGTTTGAAGATATTAATCAAGTTCATGACTGAGATTGAGTTTATTCCAAAACAGAATTAGCGTACATTTTCTGTTTTTGGGATGCTTTTCCTTCAACTAGATCCTTGGAAATAGTATTCACGGCTTTGCATGTACGCAGATGGCTGTTCCGCAATGATCTTACTGGACGCGTTCCTGACACTTGGCGCGGATTGCAAAGTGCCGTTGATCTGTATGTAACCTTATACAACTCTTTCTGTAGCATATCATGATTTCCTCCGGCGTTCGATGCACAAAAGTGTTTCGTCCTGATAATAGTTATCAATTTGTGTACTGCTAAGTGAAGGAGTTCTGACACGGTCTTATGGGCTTTTTCTTTTGGTGAACCGACCACAGGAACATCAGACAGAACTCATTATCAGGCACTGTTCCTGCGTTTCTCCCTCTGCTACCAAACTTAAAGATACTGTAAGTGTCGACAACTTTATCAGATTGCCAAGCATCTCAAGGCTACAACAATCTCATTAAACGGTTAAGTTCTGTCCTTAAATATTTGACTCAAACGATGTCTTGTATGCAGGGATATTTCACAGAACAAGTTCGATGGGCCGATTCCACCCACCTTGAACGTATCTACGAATCTTTTGTCGTCATGGAACAAACTGGCGAAACAAAACTGCGACTTGTAAGTTAACGCAACCGTTGGCTCAGTGGTTTTCCATGCATGAGAAGTGTGATTCTTCTGATTAACATCTACAATGCAAGGCCTCTCATGCTGATATCTCATGTGAATGAGTGCATCTTGAGCACAAATGCGTATTGATTTCTGGTGTGTTCTTATTATCCAGGAGCTGTAACTATTTCAATGGATCGTTTCCTGTGACCATACCATCCAATGTGTAAGAAACCATTCTTTTGCTTCTGTTCAGAATTATCACCATCGTGGTTAAAGATGCTCTTTGTTCCGCAAAATAACCTCGTTGCAAGTCCGACACTGACATTTGAACTACTGCTGAGCGTTTTGCGCAGTAACGTAACAGGGAATTGCTTCACTAATTCCACCAAGGAAAGTGATTCATGCAAGAGGGATCTCAGGTGTGACCAGATAAGCCGGAAATACAATGACAACGGTGAGCGTCAGTAGCCTTCATGTCGTCGATGGGGGTTTCCGTTCTGGCACCCATGCTCGCCTTCGTGCTAACAATCATGTTGTTCGTGTATTGCAGGATGTGCACCATGTCCCTCTCAGCAGTATATGTACGATTTCATCAAATGCCTCTGCGCACCACTGGGTAAAACTTGCCTCTTCACCTCTGTATAATCCATTTTGGTCGATGTGAGTGCATTGTGAGCACATCCGAAACATTGCATGTTTGGTCGATTGATGAGGTTTTGTTGTCTTTCAGATGTCAAGTTTGGTGAAGGGAAGAAATCCTTTGCAATTGGGGCGATTGTGGGTATCGTAGCCGCCTTTGTTGCACTTTTGTTGGCAATCTTTGCTCTCTGGCGCTACAAGCCCTCGGTCTTCAGAGACCCTTTCAAGAAGAAGGATATCGATTGTAAGTCTCGGAACTCAATTGTAGCACATGTCTTCACTGGGCATTGTGAGCACACCCTGGTCTGACATTCATACGCATCGTCATCTCTCGGCAGATGGGCCATGGGAAATCCCAAGTGGAGTTCAAAAGTATTCCCTCGCGGAACTTGCAAAGGCGACCAACAATTGGAGTGAATCCAACGAAATTGGACAGGGTGGGTTCGGAAAAGTTTTCCATGGCGTTTTCGAGGACGGGAAAATGGTGGCGATCAAGCGGGCATCGGATTCTAGTACGCAAGGTACCTCGGAGTTCCGGAATGAAGTGGTGCTGTTAAGCAGATTACACCACCGTCACCTCGTTCGACTCGAAGGCTTTTGTGACGACCGTGGATTGCAGGCAAATTCTCTTACTTCTAAAGATTCAGCTTGACGATTGTGCTTGAATTAGTAATATCTGGTCCTCACTCAAAACCAAGGTGCTTCGAGTCCTGTGTTGCGAACCGAATTCAATAGCTTCCTGATGCAATGACTAACGATCTACCTCTCAATGCCGATTCTCAGATTCTTGTCTACGAGTTCATGGAAAACGGCAACTTGCATGATCTTCTTACTGGTGTGAAGAAAGGGAGGGATGTACCATGGTACAAGCGCCTGGAGATTGCTGTCGGCGTGGCCCAGGGATTGGATTACCTTCACACAATGGCGGTAAGCTTCGAGCATGGGGAAGTTCAAATAGTGTAACTATCTCTCAGGCTTCTCGTCACTTAAGTTAAACTATACCCATTGCGTCTAGTACTTTTTGCTAAATTCTCTCAAAATCTCGTCATTCTCAAATGTCTTAACTGAAACGATGACTTGGTGAATCGGCCTTCAGGATCCTCCTGTCATTCACAGGGATATTAAACCTAGCAACATTCTCCTTGATTCTGAGCTCGTTGCTAAGGTGGCTGACTTCGGAATCTCAAAGGAGAAGGAAAACATTGAAACTCATATCTCCACGAGACCTGCTGGTACCGCTGGGTAAACTCCTCAGCATATTTTTCATTCAATGCACGATCATAACTTCAGCGCCGTATTATACTACACTTCGTCTATCAAAGCACCTCATTCACACTTTCTCCATTGCCAGATATCTGGATCCCGAGTATTTCTTGAGGCGGCACTTGACGACTGCAAGTGACGTTTACGCATATGGGGTGTGTCTGTTAGAGCTAATCACTGGTCAACAATCCATCGACCACATGCGGCTCGAGGAATTCAATCTGATTGAATGGGTAAGTTCGTCGAAAATCACTCTCCTGAATGGATCTGCTTTTCTGTTTGTCTGTCAGGTAAATCTCACTTCCAATGTAGCACTGGTGTGTCTTCTGGTTCACTACACAGTCAAACTTTATCCAAGGGAATCCAATTTTCAAGGCAGAAGACTTATGTATGGAGTAGAAAAATGATATGTCAGATATGTGGTGACCGTTAAGGAACATTAGCATAAGTCCCCATTTGTGGATTACAGGTGAAGCCAAGGTTTAAGACGGGAGGAGTGGATGCAATTGTGGACACGGCACTGGGAGAGGATTACGACAGGGAGGTCATGAAGGAGATGACAGAAGTAGCACTGGCGTGCTCAGCATTTTCAAAGAAGGACCGCATAACCATGAAGGTGCACACTTCTCCCTGAACGAATGTGGTATGCTAAAGTCCTCGGAACGAACAGAGTTGTCGATTTTATCAGAACCCACATGAGTAATGTATGTAAAGAAGCAAATAAGGATGAAGGCTGATATTCCCTTTTGATGCTTTTTCAGGAAGTCCTCAACATACTGGGGCCCCGTTTGGCGAATGCATCCGCGCTTAATGCAGCTTCCATCTCCGAAAAGGTCAAGAGATTGTCAACGAGGGATGACCCCAATACTAAGCTCTACAACAAACATAAAGAAGGATCAACGTCTGATCTCAAAGTTCCCCTTCCTGATCACACCAGCACCAGCAGCCCTGCAACAACCACGCAGTTTGATTTACAAATCCTCTCACCACGGTAGTCTCAGTTCCACATACTTCATCGTGTGTGACTCCCTTTTGTTACAGTCTCTTGCTTGTTATTACTGCAGCAATGCCACCTATGTAATCCGTGCATCAATGAGTAGAAATGGATCTACGCCGCTAGACATGTGTGATTAGCTGTTGGATCAAGTTCGAAATATGAATTATGTAATTTATGATTTTGTACAAGAGTGACGCACTTGATTCAATCGTACTTGGTACTCGAACTATTGGGCTTGGAAAGACCAATGCTTTCTACACAATAAACTGTCTCCCTTATGTTTAGACATGTAGACAAGACACGAAGCCAATAATTGGAATTTGTTATGATTTGAATTATATAGAGCACTGTCACAATTTTCAGACCATTGAGATTAAAGAACTATCCCCAATCGACCGCTATAGACTACTGGTAAGAAACTGCCGATTTTCATACACAGGATTTGGTGTGTAACCGGCTACGTTCATACGAACACGAAGTGTAGTAAACGTGGTGTAAAATTGTCAAATCACAAGAAGTGCGCATTTTTCATCCACATGTCCAAAAGGAAATATGACATGCAGGTGAACAACGTGAACCGTCAAATGATTAATAGCATCATAATTCAGATCATTTGTTGGAGCACTGTGATGAATCTCTAGTAATGGGACAGTGGACTATCATATACATAACGCATTTGTAACAAGGTTTACATTCGTTAAATTGTGTAATTAGTACAAATAGTTGAGTAGTAACGCTCGTAATCCACTACATTATGCAGTTTATTGCTGAATCCGGTGTATCCCTACGTGAAACGAAAAAATAATAAAGTGATGCTGCAATGTATACACAAGGGTTGATAAGAGCAACACCGAGATTCAATACAATCGCTAATCCTATGAGGCGCAAATGGAAAGAAGAAACTATGTCAAATTCTTAACACCTAATCTCTGCTATAAATCTGGAAAAGGACTGAATGTGAAGAACATGAGATTCCAAATCCGAGATGAAATTGGTGGCCAAAATTTGTCTCTAGAGCGCCATTTCAGCTTGAAGGGCTGCAAGTTCATCTTCTTCCTCCTTGTTCTGAGGTGGTTTGGCTTTCTGAGTAGGAACTGGAGGTCGGTATGCTTGTGGGAGTTCCTGGACAGAGGGAGTGATTAATTGTTCTTCTAATTCAGCTCCTTCAAGATCCTCGAGCTCGGCTTCTAACTCATCCTGTAAGGCATTAGCAACAAACAACTGAGCTGATATTCGCAGTGCTTAACCCATGGTCTTCAGAAATGTCTTCAGAGGCGTACAACATTCAAATTCAGTAACTATCGTCTGAGACATGAATAAAATCTGGCACATTTAGGCCACCATGTTCAATGCACAGACGATATTTAGAAATCCTCATAACTAGACGGTACTGACGCCAATGACTAACAAATATCTGACAAAAATTTACACTAATACCAAGTGGTTTATTGGTACTAATTCGTTGCCCTCCCCCCCTTTTTTTTTTGTCAGGGACTAATTTTGCAAAGAAATGTATCTTCCAATGTGTCACCACAATAATCCAATAGCAGGAATTGCAATTTTACCTCGTCGATATCAGCTGATGTCCCAATAGGAGTTGAGAGTGCCTCCTGGATCTGTTTCATGTTCTCAGTTTGCTCATTGATCTCATCCATGGTCTTGTCAACGTCGTCAATATTTCTGTAAGCCACAACATTAGCAAATTAAGGGTGAAGGGCCGTACACATGATTTTATAGAAAATGTCGTTACAGCCACTAGTACAACAACAAGAAATGCCGTTCTCTCCATCTCGAGCAATTAAATTTAGAGCGCGACAAAGCGGTTTGTAACGGACTAGCTCGAAAAAAACTAGAAATAAAAGACATAGACATTGGTTATCACAATGATACTTTAAATCCTACTTCAAAAATATACTCGCGGAACAAAGAGACGCAAAATAATGTATGGCAAAGACAGGTAAGGAAGAAAGGACAAGCATCGTACGTCGCCTTCTGGATAGCCTTCATAGCTGAAGCACCGCTACGCAGGGCATCCACAGTTTCTGTGGTTGCTTTAGCACCCTCTAACATAATCATCTGCACAAAATTGACAAGCAACGATGATTACAGATGAACGCAGAAATTGACCAGACTCCCTCAGATAGGCGTGCGTGAGTATATCTATATAAGTATGCAATATGCACCCGTAAATCCAGTATGATAATAGACCGGGAGGATGAAGTATCGGACCTGGTCATGAATACGCAATTGAAAGTTACCGAGTTGCTCTACTTGGACTTCATACAACTTCTTCCGCTTCAAACACTGAATCGCAGCTGCCAAATCCATCGCACAACAGCGGTCGTCAACAAACCTAGACATCCAAGCCTCCATCTCTCAACTCATGGCAGCCCTAAATTTATCATACCACTCAAATGAAGCCATCCCCAAGCCCCAGATGCTTACCTCGCTTATTCTTCAAGCTCGTAAACTCCTTAGCCTTCTCAATTTCCATAGCTATTTTCTTTTGCAACACTTTCTCCTTTTTCTCCAACATCTCCAGGGTCTGTCTCCACCATCATACCCCCATCTCAGTCCATCTCACTAAAAATCCACACTAACCCTATCTTCCCCAAAAAACCCCAAATTCACGCCAATTCACGCCAACTCTCATCTCCATCACCATCTCCACCCCCATCTCCAACCCCAACTCATTCCAATAAATCCACCCGTAAAATCAAATCCGGAGCACAAAACAGCATCCCACGCATTGTCGCGCGCTCACCTCATTGAGCTTATCAAGCGTGGAGAGGGTAGAGGGCTCCTCTTTGGGCTTCCCGAACAATCTGCCAAACATGATGAACGGAAAATTCTCCGACAGAAGAGGGCAGATTAACAAAACCCTCGAGTATCTGCCGCCTTTTGAGTATCTGCGCTGCAAACGCTCGTGTACAATTCTACAACGTACAGGTCACGAGGCGGCAGTGTAGCATCCTGGAGATCGAAGGTAGAGCAGGCACACAGACAGCATACAGACAGCCCAAGTGTCGCCGAGAGACTCTGAATTGATGGAATCGGGTTCCGGTGTCGGTACTGATTCCGTCGATGGCTTCGCCTCGCTTCCGGTTTGCTTGGCCCACTGCCCCTCGTCCTGCCGCGCTCCTTCGCGTGTCCTTCCAAGAAGGTTCCAATCGATGTCCCCGAAGCTGCGCACTAGATGCTTAGTGGATGTAAGACATCTTTTGGACGAAATATTGTGGATAATTCTTCGTAGATGGTTCTGTTCATCTTCTCTGTGTGGTGCGGCTTAATGTGTATATATTAACTTTAAGAGAATAGTTTTATGAATCAAGAATAAATGTAATCCTAAAACAAAGTAAAGGAAGTGATCCAAAATAGATAAATATTGCGAAAAAAAATTAGTTCAAAATCTAACTATTCCACAATTTTCAATGTTTGAAGTGCAATGATTAGTTTCTAATTTTTTTAACACTGATATTATTCTTAGCAATGTTCTTTGATGATCTTACATTAAAATACAAATTGGAGGCATAACTATTTTAATACATTCAATACATAACAAAAATATCAATTAAATTAACATTTTAAAATATTTCAAACCTTAATAGAAACAATCATTTGGAACAAATAAATTAGACAAAAATAAAATAATAAAATTACAAAATAAACAATGATTTATAGTTTAATCATATATCATTGAAAACAACAATATAGTAGTGTAATTTATAGTTTTCTAAAAATAAAACTTACATAATGCCACAAGCTATTAATATTTCAGTGATAGGTTACATTTTTTAAAATTTTACTGGAGTACGATATGCAACATGTTGTACATCTCTACAATCTTCAAAAGTGAAATAAAATTAGAATTTTTTCACCTTTTCCAAGGAATTTTCTCTCCATGTACACATTAAAGTTAGATAAGGAAACTAAAAAAAGTGCACATACGTTAGAGTTTATGCATTAATGAGTCTCTTCGAGTGGTTTAGGATTATCAACTTAAACCTCTGTAAATAAGAGCTTCGTCCACGTACTCAAGGCAACTTTCACAAATTTATTCACTTCTCGAGTAGAATCAAAGAAAACTTATCACCAGGCTAGATAATTCTCCAAACCAGTTTTTCTTCCAATTCAACCTCATGAAAAAGACCCAGAAGTTCGATGTCGCGAAACATAATCAATTGGGTAAATATTTACAAAATGGTGTCGTCAGGATCAAACACCGGCAATGTGACCCAATTATTCAACATTTTGTTTTACTACAGTATTGTTCATCGTCTCGGAGGTTCTGGAATTCAACCTGTCGTAGGTGCCATGATCAGAGAGATCATTATATCTACTGAGAAGCAGAGTGCCGTTTCTCGATTTCTATGCTGGATTAGTCGGAGTTGGGATCTGGTCTAGAATCTACACACAATGTAGACAACGTTTCATAATGCTAACACGATGAAAGTCGAAGACAACCATGAAATATTAAAAAATTTGCTACACAGAATGTAACAACATGCTCCACACGATGATCTGACTTGATGGTATTTTAGATGGGAAAATAAGATAGTCCGTCGAGATTACACTCGAGGGAAGAGTAACTCGCTTAGACAGAGGTCTTATTCAAAAAACAGAACAATGAGGTGACATGAAGAACGCAAGAATGATGTGATGTTTAAGTAGGGTATCACACGACACATTTACAAGAAAGATAACCTAGAAGAATAAACTGTTCACAGTCAAAGAATCGACAGAACTCAGAAGAAACAAGAGGCCTGGCAAGGCAATCTAGTGCACAGCTCCAACCTCCTCCTGCATCCCACCACCTCAAGATGTATGTAGCATAGCAGAAAAAATGAAAAGAAATCAATAAATGCCCACCTACCCAGACCCCGCCTCACTAAAATGTTTTGACACAACATGCCACAAAGAGCAATCTTTGATTGCTCGGTATCTCGCTGCCACCAAGGAAAAGGCAGACAACTGAAAGGTTTATCAAAGTCTTGCCACTTTACCTTCCAGGGCAACTAAAATAGACCTTCAAAGATCTGTCTATCCCCTAGCAGTTCCACCATATGCACCACACGTTGCTAATCCAAATCTGTAGGTAGCAGTTTTTTCAAGTCCAAATGATCCATTCCTCCAGTCCTGCTGCCTTGTTCACGGCTTCCGGTTCTTGGCATGTCTCGAAGAAAGCACAAGAAATAACAGGTTACGAATCACTAGGAATGCATGTCCCTGACTCATCCGCATAGTGTCCGTCACTGCAGTCGCAGCCATATCCTACTGCTTTGCTGGCCTCGGTGTAACACTTCGCGTCCTTGTCACCTTCGGTCTGGCAAGTGTCGGGCAAATCACATCCCACATCCTCGCACCTGGTCAATGCACAGATGAAAGGAAGCCGAACGTCACAGCTCAAGTCATTGAACATGTAAGGAAGCTTTTCAGGATCCCTGGACTGCTCCTCAGACTCGAACTTGATTGTGAGACATCCCTCGTAGCCTCCGAGATTGTTGGGCTCATCATTGTTCCACCAAGACTGGTTGAACTCGACGCAAGGCGACATGGGGTAACTCCAGCCTCTGGTTGTAGGCATAAGTTTGTAAGCTCTCCTCCCACCAATGTAGCATCCCAGGCCCAGAGGGTTATTGGCATCCCCAAAAACTGTTTCGTTTGACTGGTAGCAGAGCATGCCAAGGTCCTTAAGCTCATCCCAATCAGCAGCAGCTGCCAAGTGACCATCCGACTGTCGTCGGCAATAGTACTCGGCCTGTGCCCAAGTCTGTGGCTCCTTAACGAGCATGAAACAAGTGCCGGACTTTCTCCCAGGTTCGTAGCCTTCCGGACATTCACCTTCTGCTTCAGGAGCAGGTGGTAGCACAGCTGGAGGGGGAGGAGAAGGCGCAGGAGGGGGTGAGGGTGTAACTGGAGTTGGCGTTGGGGGAGAAGGGGTGGGTGTGGGGGGAGAAGGTGTAACTGGAGTGGGAGTAGGTGGAGTTGGAGAAGGGGTTCCACCGCCGTTGTAGAAGGCTGCGCACGTTGCAGCGTCTTTCTGCCCTTGCGAGCCAGGAACACAGTTACCATCGAGGGACAAGATATCTCCAAGAGCAGCACATGAAGGAGCAATGCCTGTGAAGAAATTGTTGTCCAAAACGATGGAGGTAATATTGTCAAGCTCACACAGCTCCGCCGTAACCATCCCTCCTAGCATGTTATCACTCATGTCAAAAACCTCCAAGCTTGCCATGCCTTCAATGCTCTTAGGCAGTGCTCCGGTGATTTTGTTTTCACTGCAATCGAAGAGAGTAACACCTGTGAGATTTCCAATGCCATGAGGGAGCCCACCCTTGAAGTTGTTGTTCAGGGCAACAATTTCTTCCACATTCTCCAACTGTCCGATAGATTCCGGGATACCTCCTTCGAAATTGTTGTTTGCGAGAACAATGGCTGATACCTTAGACTCTCCCAAGTTTTCGGGAATCTCGCCATCGAAATTGTTGTTGTTCACAAATAGTGCGTCCAGAGGCTTTGAGAAAAGCTCTCTCGGCAATTTACCGTAAAAATTGTTGAAACGAATATCCAAATACTCCAGACGTGGGATGTCCAATACCACCTCCGGAAACTTTCCAGAGAGCTTGTTGTTGCTGAGATCAAGCTCGAACAGGGTTTTCATGTACCGAAATGAATCCGGAACAGTTCCATAGAAACGGTTACTGTTCACGTGAAAAATTCCAATCTCTCGAAGCAAACCGAGCTCGGGCGCAAGAGGACCTTTTAAGTAAGCTTCATTGAGATCTATGCCTGAAACCACTTCGAGATAAGACAGGTTCGGATCTTCGGGTGGAGAGCAGAACACTCCTTCGTACTCGCACACGTCCAGACCCACCCATGTGTCCAAGATTCCTTTCGGATCGTCGACGATTGCTTTTTTCCATGCTTGCAGGGCTATGTAAGCTCTCCACTTACTCCACGCGGGTCCGTGACGGCCAACGCCGGGTGGATGGTTTCCAACACCGGGAGGGTGGTTTCCGATCGGTCGGGTTCCGAAGAATGGGTGTTCTACTCCATGAAAAATAAAAACGCATCAGTGACTCATCTGCATGATTTAGTTGCATACACTCTTCAAGGATTCAAGACCCGGATCATGTCATGAATGCAGCAGATTGTGATCGAGAAAAAAATTGACGCCCTAACCCCCGTACTATCAGTCTTCATTGTTAATTCCGAATATTGGTACCGCTCTAAGGGGCACTATCCATGTAGATTGTTCTAAATGATGTAATTCTAAGATAGCTTCAAATTCGTACATTGAGCGTGTTGCAAAAGGGTTCCATAATGAGGTAGGGTAACAATTGTTGTGGAGAGGTACAAATGCAAACCTCCCAAGAAGACGAACACTATTCGTAACGAGGAAACGTAAGTGTGTATCAAAATATCAAAATACACTTATAGTTTAATACATTACACTCAAGCTGCCTTGGATAGGAGGTATTTGCCAATGTAGCGACGAATCGATATCGGAAGAGACTAATAGAGTAGCGCTTAGAGGTCTTTCTCTTCGCGGAGGACACATCCCAGTAAGTTACGATGTATTTAACCACACAATACGAATTGAAAAGCGGCGCCAAACTGAGTTTGCGACTGTGACTCTAGGTCCCTGAAGTCTAGTCATTCCCGGGGCTTCTTAAACCAAGTGCTCATGTGTACACCACTTCGAGGGTTTGAACTCCACAGTCTCAGTGGTTCAGGACACTGCATTCCGGCAATGCCGCACGAGAAGAGTTCGTGGAACAAGGGACAGTTAACTTGTGACAGTGGGAAGAGGCGTACCAGTGGCAGCAACTGCTGCGCGAACACAAACCAGCATAGATACTAGCCAGAGAGTCTTCATGGTTGTCCCCATCCGACCCAGCTGAAAGCAGGTCAAGGCGCCTGCTTTCGTCGGTGCCATGCACCACAACTCCGAAACGGGAGAAACCCCACCGAGCCCCTTTTATCAGACCCCTGTGTCAAGATGATGTTACTTTCCTCCGACTAGTTCCGATGTGACGCCTGTAAGACCTAGTTTGAGCTCTCTTAGCGAGCTCGCCTTCACCTTTCCGCTGGTCTAAGAGGACCTCTCCACATTGTGCTCGCAGAACATCCAGGCCTTTCACCCTTCATAATCCACCAATGCAGCAGTGTTGGCACTTTTAAGACCTGCACAAACATCAACAACGCCCATTGGCGGTCAAACTCCAACAATGTATGCACGCCCCATCTCTTAGCCACATGCAGCGATAGCGGCAATGCCGCCCTCCGACATTACACCTTGACTGCATGTCAAACCACCATCAGCAGCGCAAACTTCGTTGCCTCACCAGGGCAAGTCACTTTGATGAACACCTCAAATCACTCGGGACTCCCAATACTCAGTGTGTGTGTGTGTGTGGGGGGGGGGGGGATAGCATAGCCATACCGTAGCCGAGTAGCTCAGAACCTTAGACCTTGACACAAGCAAACAACAGCCAGTCCAGACGCACTCAGATTAGTGGGAACTGAGGCTGCGAATGCTTGCCGGTCTGGAGGTGCGCGACACGGAGCCCCCAGAAGTGATGGCGCTGCACAAGAAGGGCGAGCGTCCGAGGCGTGGCGAAGTGGCCAAGTGAGGGGAGAAGCTGGTAAGGCGTGGTGCATGGAGCTCCTACTGCCGGCGCAAGAGGGCAGCAGGGACGCGGGGGGAAAAGCCGAGGCACAGCCAATACCGCGACTTCCTGCACTCGTCGCTCCCCGTTGCCTGGCGCCGAGCGGCCATTACGTGCCACTGGCGCTCATTCCGCGCGGCGTTTCACTGCCCATCTCGTGGGGTGGGTGGCCTGGTCCCTAGCTGCCCGCCCTCCCCCCATCACCACTAACTTACACCATTTTCACTCTATTCATTCCCATGACGACTCCCGCTCGCACACTCGTTCGTCTTCACACTCTATCCATTCCCCTCTCCTGCCCCGCATCAATCCCTCTTTGACGACGGCAATTTGCGTTCAGTGCTTGTTTCGTAGTGTGCAGAAGGTAGAATTGTTTTTAAGCGCCTTCGAAACGCATCATTCCAACCCAGTTGCTTCGTTCGTGATACTACTTGGTTTTCCTATCATTTTTATTGTTAGCTGTGCGAACCACATCAGCGCTCGAAGTAACGGAAAAGATAAACTTCGAGGCGCGTGAAAGCAAAACGCCAAAACTGGGTTGGTTTCTGGACGGGGTTTTGTACTAGTTCGTATTCTTTTCCATCTTTTTCTTTTCGATTTCGGGATTAAAAGGATTTCTTCATGGAATGGAGGCAGGGGGGATTGCATGGTGCTACGAATCCACAAACAGAGTGTCTGTGGATGTGGAAGGGCAAGATTTGCATCTTGTCAATGGGGTGGTGCCACGTCTTTTGGTATTTATTATGTGATTGTCTGATCACTGTTGATGCTGACACAACCACGACTTGCGCCTCCCTCTCCGGGCTCCATAATTTAGTACTTATGAGTTTCTACCGCGCATGGTAGTTGGAATCCGCGATTAATGCAGTTGAGATGGGCGGTTACTCTCTTGACCCAACTCGCGTTCGGTACCAGGGATGCGTAATTAGGGGACTACTAATGTGGATGAGGAGAATCACTGGCTTCGATTGTTACACAAAACCCAAGCCCACTTCAACACTTCCTCGTGCCGCGAAGGCGTGTGGGTCACAAAATATAGATGTCTCCGCGTTATTGTTTTATGGCTTTCTGCGCAGTATCTCATAGTTATTGTCCATTATTCGCGCTTACCACTGACAAAACTTTCTATTTTTGAACCCCTGATGTGATATGTTTTTGTTCGTGGTAACCAGAGCTTTGCCTGGTTCTGCTCCACACTGTGTAAGATTAGACTTTTGCATGAACTCCAGGGGACTACAGTACTTTGTCTTTTACTCTCTGTTCGAACATTTATTGTACCGCAGTCTTGACTGCATTGTCAAACTTACTGAAGCTGCAGTGGAATGCACTGTGTCCTGTGCGTCACACACATGCATGTAAGAAAATGCACACATCATTTTTCTGATCACTCCTTCCTTCACTCCATGGTAATGCATATAAACATTAGTAACAATGATTCAAGTTTTGAAATTTCTAACTTGAGAGATCGTGGATGATTGAATACCCGCTGTTTGAAACTAGGCTCCCATTATTTTATTTTTTTAGTGTATCATGCCCCTGTGAGGTACCAATTGCTGTTTGCAGTGTCATAGATGAGACAGTCCTTCGTCCAAGCAAGAAGACATGGAAGCAAAGAGACAACTTCAACCGAACGTGAAGACATGATTGTGATTTTTTTTAACACCCCATCGCTACAGCACCTGACTTGTGAATTCTCGGCAGCTGCAGAGCACCGCGAAACGTAAAAATATGGCCATAACAGCAGGAATCCCATCACATTCACGACATGTTCAACTGTACTTTTCGTGTGGTTTTTTTTGGGTTTTTTGTGTTTTTTGTGTTTTTTTTTTTTTTTTTTTTTTTTTGTAGTTACAGAAAAAGGGTGTAAGGTGTTGTAACCAGCTGGCAATTTCCTTCTCATTTGACTCGGAGGAGGATAAAAGAAACTCCCTTTTCATTGCTCTGGCGACGGAGACCCTGGTTTCAGTTGGCGAGGAGAAACAACTTCCAAAAACTAGAGTGGATGGCAGGATCAATGCAACATTTTCTCTTGCGACAAACGGGGGAACATGGGAATTGAGGGAAATGGGTACCAAGGAATCATCAGATGACGAAGCAATAGAATAGGCCTCCCTCGATGCGAGGAGGAGGGTCGTAAGGTTTCGGTCAGCAGCAGCACCCTCCGCCACTCACACAGCCAGAACACGAGTGTTGTTCCAGCATTGCCTGGGATCCAGACACAGGCTGACTTTATAACGCACAGCAGGGCAATAGCCTTGCCCCATCTTCTCCCAGGTGCTGCTCGATTAACTTACTGTTTCTCAGCAGTGGCAGAAACGAGACTGACTGACCTGAGAGGGGGAGAGTGAGAGAGAGAGAGAGGAACAAGCCCTGAACGACCTCCTGCTCCCCAAACGGCGATCGCCGTTCCAGAGCATGATGAACCAGGAACACAACACCGTTGTGGGTAAAAATACAAAAATAGAAAACTACAATCTCCCTGACTAACTGCCATTGGCATGCATGTGAACCCCACAGGAAGGATTCAAACGGGGGTTTGAAGTTGCGGAGCTCGCGGGTATCTAGTGGCGGACGCGGAGGTGGGGTCGTAGGTTGTACAATCCGTGGTACTCTCTCTCTCTGTGTCACCACAGCCACAGCCGCACAACAAGCGCCGGTGTTGGGGGGCCAACACACACACACAGTCCCATCCATCCTCGTCCTCCCCTCCCACCCCGTTGCCTTCGTCGTCTTCCTCCTCCTCCTCCTGGTCCGACTCGCGTGGGGTGCACACGGCGCTTCCTCCCATTGCGATGCGCTGCAACACATGCCCGAGCCGCATCCTCCTCCTTCTTCTCCTCCTCCTCCTCCTCGTCCTACTCCTGCCATTCCTCCAAGCACGCCTTGCAACAACGCAGTCTAACACTCACACGCACACACACACAGACACGGGACATCGACAAAGCTGCAGCTGCAAAGCGAGCTGACCAGCACTGAAGGCCATGAAGAGGGTCACGTTTCACTGTTGTTGTCATTCCATTGTGCACAGTCCAAATTTGAGAGTTTAATGTGAACACTAATCCCCCCCACTCACTAATTCAAAGCCTGGTTTTGCACTTCATCATCTCTCACAATCGGGCATAATATTGACTTCGGTGCTTTTCTCAACTATGGTTCGTCTCGTGTTTCTGGTCTTTTCTCATTCTTGGATTGTGAGGACATCTAATGTACTCATAATGTAATACGGCTTTATATATATATATATATATATATATATTTGTGCATGTGTTTTGTACGAATGATTCATTTGGTTATCACAATTGCATCTTAATATATTAAGTGATGTAAGTTATTTTATATATGGACCAAAAAACAAATACTAAGGTGTTCAGCTTTTGAACTCCCTGTGAATTGCAAGTGTACAATTTAGTATTCGTGTAACGATCCACATGGTAGTGATGGTGCAACTTTACCAAAAAAAACTCTACTCGTTTACAATAATGAGATGGGATTATTAGTTGATTACAAAAGTACTATTAAGTATGATATCGTACTTGTAATAATCATGTTCATGTCAAAACAAAACGAAAACAAAATAGCTTTTGTCATGATTGGGCAAGTTAAAAATGTCTTGTTCATTGCAACATACGACTGGGTAAGTAAATGAAATTGCGTAGTTCCTGAAATAAATTATAGAATTACGTGTTTTATCTTTACTTCAAATTTTTACAGAGTCCAGGAAGAATATTATGAAAATTCCAATATTTTGTATTATAAATTTTCATCAAATGTATCACTGTTATGTATTATACTTAGAAATATATTATTGATGGCATACACTATTAGATTTTTTTTTTTTTTTTTTTTTTTTTTTTAAAGTAAAGAATGCACATAATGTTTCTCTTTCAGTGGAAGTTGTAAAAATATTATCTGACAAATTATCATACAAGAAAATGATTTCCAGTGGATGTTATGTACAATTAAAACATATCACAAGAACTTCTAAAAGTAAAATAAAACAAAGCAAACTAGATGCCATTTGAAAAAACATGTGACAAATTGTCTTAATTTGTTACTTCCTAGCTTAATTATTAGCATGTCTGCCATAGAGAGTTCACAATAATACCCCATTTTGACACAAGGATTCTCAAGCAAATATTTAAATTCAAATACTCATTCTTGTGATTTTACTTTGCTTGAGAGGTGAATTTATAAGCGTATTTCGTCAATGAAGGCCAATTATTAAGCAAAAGACTTCATACAGTCCCACGTAATTATAAATAGGGAGCCAAAGCAAATGAAACTTCTCATAAAAAATAAAAGATAATGTATTAAAATCCCCAACTGAATGTACACTAAAATGATCAACACACGAATTAATTAGAACCACACATGTATTCCAAAACAACAGCCAATAATCCGCATTTTCTTTCGCCAGTTATGAATTCAACAGTGCTTTTCATTTCAAACTAAAAAGAAAAAAAAGTTTAGGATAAATGCATTGATGTGCACATTCATAACATTGTGTGTTAAATGTATTCTAAAAAAAGTGAAAAGAATGAGGATGCAAAGTGCCAAATTTACAAGGTAAATATACTTCACAATTTTGAAGGATTTGAACATTTTGAAACCCAACTGTAAAATGAACTTGTATGGAATCTTTTTTAGGAAACATAAATTATTTCTGAGAGTCTTTTTGTATAAAAATTGAAAAAAAAAAAAAACCATCACTTTTCCCACAACTTTTTTTTTTTCCTCTTTTTTTTAAAAAAAGCGAAATGTCATGTTCTAATTATATTCAAAGAATTACTATTATTGCATTTGCTTTTTGTTTTTAGATTGTGTGCATTACAACTTTGAAATACACATGTATCAAATATTAATACATGTATGTTTGTATATATATATATATATATATATATATATGAATGAAAATCCAAGCATAACTTGACCATTTTTTCATAAATTGGTTGTTTTAGATCAATAATTTACTTTGAAGTCTGTATTATATTAGGAATGTTTTGCAAACAAATGACTATTATTATTTTTTTTCATTATTGTTTTTCTTCTTCTAAAAATTGAATCATATTTTTTTCAATGACTCACTAGCATATTTAAACTGGATTCAATATTTAATATTGAAAAATATTTTGATCAACTTGTACCAAATAAATAATTGTGGGTGTGGATTTATATGTATATATAAAAATAAAAATAAAGAAAGAAGAGAGGAATATGTTTTTATTCATTTAAATTTTGACCTATATTTGATACATATAAATTTTAAATTTAGTGAGTATTTAAAAAAATGTTTATAATCAAAAAAATTAAAAACCAATATATATGTGTATGTATGTATATATATA